ACCTTCATTTGCTGATGGGGCACAACTCAAAATGAAGAGAAAGAGCTGCAAGCATCCATTAATAATCAGAACATGGAATGTATGAAGCATGAATCTAGGAAAATTGGATATTGTAAAAAATGAAATGGAGCCAGGTTTAAATATGTTGCTGTTGTTGCTAAATGCCATTGAGTTGGTTCCAATCCATAGAGTTTCCAAGGAGCAACTGGTGAGCTTGAACCACCGATCTTGAGGTTGAAAACTGAACTTGAAGTCCAATGCATTAGCCCACAGCACCACATCACAAATATAAGAGTCTTCAATATTTCCCCTTCCCTTCTCCCCATCTTCTTTTCTCTTCCTTCTTTCTTTTTATGGAATCTGAAACCTTTATGGGATGAGGTGATTCGAAAAGTCTTCACAGAAGAAATGAGACTTAAAACAGCTTTGAAAACCATGTTTTCTTTCAATGTCAACAGGGTTGGGACCATATCTGAAAATATCTTATTTCCAGTTACCTACTAAATGCTTTTTATATTCACTCTTCTTGCTTTCCTCCATTAGCACAAATATTTCAGATCTGGCTCTTTTTTTATTTGCAATACCCGTGATAAGACTCATCTCTGTTACCAAGTACATTAAGGTAAAAATATGATTTTTTTCATCACAGGATGAAGTAAACCAGATCATGGAAACCAATCTGTGGCTGCGTCATGTATGTATCAGCATCCTCTGCCCATCTCTTTGAACGGTGTTACTCATGTGTCATCTTAATAATGTCTAAGGGGTAAAATCCACTAGCATTCCCTCTTTCCATCTCCAACTTCAGACAGAACACAAAATATTATACAACCTGTCATCTACAAAACTAAAGTTCAGCTCTGGTAACAACTGGCTTGCCGCCAGTTTCATGGGAGCAGAAATGTGGTGGTAATGATCTCTCTGACATAAACTTCTGTCATATCTGCTTTCAAGTCTCTGATTTCTATTTGTAGGCTCAGCTCCAGAGTCAGATGCTTGCCTACCCAGGCCTAGAAAAGTCAGTAGCTGTGCTCAACTGCAAGCAAGAGTTCCATTAGCTGTTTGTTTGATTTTCACTTAGACCATCTTTTCCTTCCTGCCTTAACTTTTTACATAGACTTTCCCCCACCCTTGCTTTTAAAGTTTTTATTGTGAATTGAGTGATAGTTTACATGGGGGAACATCAGTTCGATTCATTGCAATGATTACAATCCCCTGCATGCTTCATCATTCAACAGTATTTGCTTATATTCCCTCTGTTTTTTTTGGATGTGCACCAAAACACTTAGGAATATACAATCATTCAAACAGCCAAAGGATACATCCTGCCCCCTGGCTGCCAGTACACATCCCCTCTCCCTCCATGAGTCTAGAATCCTCATCATCTCTGCCGCCATCTCTGGTGTTGCTGCTTCTCTGGATAGGTTCCCACACTCAGTTCCTGCTCTTCTCCCTTGATGGTCCCAGGGTCTTCTGCTCCAGGAATGTAAGTTCAGCCACTCACCCCC